TATGAAGTCACAAATGCACACGTTGCAAAATGCATAGTTATTTCCTTTGAAGGATTCTTTAATTGTTGGAAATTTGGCTTTGTAGGCAGGTCGAAAATGTTGAGAATACGGTTTTTTTGAACTCATTTCGTAACAACGACGTGTTAAGAAAATTTGTAGCACGTGCAAACAAACAAACAACAACAACAAAAAAAAAAAAAAAAACACAGAATGTGACAATCCACGCTTGCTGAGTAATTCCCTTGCTGCTGAAGCGAACGCGAACAAAATAATCTGGCGCCCACACAAAAAGAGTGGGAGAAACAAGTTCAGCACATTGGATTGGCTGGTTAAGCGGCGAAAACACGATGCAATTGGCGAAAAATTCTAAAATTTCGACAAAAATCACTAAAAACACTTGAAAAAGGAAAAAAATTGTAAAACATGGATTACGATCATAAAATCGTAAAGACAAACGCATTTTCTTAAAAAATATGAAAAATCCGTAAAAGTTGGCACGTATGTATCAGTGTTTTTAGATTTTTTTTTTTTAATTTAGGTACAAGCATTTACACTTAATAGTTCGATATATAGAGAACACAGAGTAGGGATGTTTCAATTCTGACCACCTAGTACAAAATGAAAAAATTACATTATATTAAAAAATATTATACACAAATTATATTAAAAAATATTATACACAATATTATATACAATGAAAGACCATATCTTACAGCAGTGAATATTTTCCTGAAAAATACAATTAGCTAACTTGAATAAATAAATTAAACAATAATAACAGTCAGCATTCTAAGAATTTTAATCTAAAAAGTGCTTGAAAAATTCATTTTCATAATTAAATTCTCATACTATTCAGCAAAATTATTCCTTCATTGAAAGGGATTAATTACTGCAGTAACAGTATTTATAACAATTTACCATCAGGGAAAAAATAGTTATATTTAAAAAACATGTTTTAACTTCAGAAGAGGCTTACAAATTACATATAAGAAGAGGTTTACAAATTACATATGCATTTTGAATAATCATACAGAATGACAAATTAATGGGAAGGGTGAATTTTTCTCCATTACACATGTGAAAACTTTGAAATCAATGTGACCAGAATCACCTTTTCCTACAATTAGTATATGACCACAATCTGTCTTATGATTTCCTTGTGTGGAAATATTCATATCGAGCTTTGTCTCTGAAAGTGTCTTTGGTGCTACTTTGGTAGACGGTTGCACGGATTTTTGGCGATTTACGTTGGCCGAATTGTTGGCGCGATTTTTACAAACGTCAGCCATCTTGAAAAATGCTGTTTTTACGCATAGTAAAGTATTCGAAACTTAAAAAATAAATAAATAAATAAATATTGTTAAAAGTAATGGATTAATTTTTTGTTGAAAATGTCATTTTTTAAGATGGCAAGCAAGTGTAAATAAATACATTTACTATGAGTATAAAATACTAAAGTAAGGTTATTATTACTTTCATATAGCAAAGAAGAGAATAAAAACACCGCTATAAAAACATTGGGCCAACGTTTAATTAGATTAAAATATTACTGAAATTGAATATCGAATTAAAAAACCATCATACCAACATTTAAAAGAATTAGAATATTATTAAATTCAAATACTTTAAAATACGTTATATAGAATATAATTAACATTAAAACATATGGACAATAATTATCTCAGCAATTTCTGAAAATAGTGTATTAATTTTTTTAACAAAAATTGAAGTATACAATTATAAAATAAAAGAAAAATATGTACTTACATTTTTTTGAGTGTTTAACCTGTTGTTTATTGATAAGTCCCACAATAAAAAATTTAAATCATAATTTAGATAATACCTTTGAAGACATCTATGAAGGAATTCGAAGATATAAATTAAATTTTAAAACGGCGCGGAAATGCACAAATTGTCAGTAACCAATCAGGGAGCTGATTACAGCTCATTAATGCACAAATATTCTATAACCAATCAGAGAGCTTATTACATCACGGCTAGAATTATTTAAAAATTCATACATAATACAATCATTTTTTTAAAAAATGCAAAATTAAATTGTATTTTAATATTTAAGAGCCATAAATAATGTTTAAAACAGATTAAATTTATACATATTAAAACGAATTACTTTTTAAAGTAAGGTGACGTCATTGATTACATCATCCACAACACAAAATTTCATAAAATATGATAAACAATAAAATTTTTATTTCAAATAAAAATGCAAAATTAAATTGATTTTTAATATTTAAAAGCCATAAATAATATTTTAAACACGGAATTTATGCACAATAAAATGCACTATTTTTTAAATAAAATGACAACAAAGTATCGGTTACCATAAATAACTTATCCAGCAATGGGTTTACCATAAGTTGTATTACTCGCCAAAGGAAAATCGCAAAATCCGTGCAACCGTCTACCAAAGTAGCACCGTGTCTTTTCATCTACATAAATTTGTCAACATTATTGTATTGACTATAATTTCCACAAAACAATGGTTTGTACAGTCCAATCATACAGTCTAACACACCTTTGTTCCAATTCTAAAATCATAATGGACCAAGTATCATTTCTGTGAAAGCACTGGAATATTTCACAACAAACTACATTTCTGGTATGCCAAAACACTGCATCATAGTTCTAAAACTTTTGTTTTACAGAATGAAATCATCCACCATTCATTTATGATATGAAAAAGCATTTTTTGTCTAAAATTCTCGGTTACAGTAGACTGAAGAATACCCCTTGTATTATCGCAAAGTTGTTGTTTCATTTATAGTAACTTGAATCATTCGGTTTAAAATGTAGTTTATTGAAAAACTGTATTTTTTATTTGCCTCTACTGTAGAACTGGGTGCTCCTTTCAAGTGAAAATATATCGATGTGTACATGAGTAGTCAAAGAAGTGCGCAATGCCAAGTTTGTGTAATTCACTGATGTTTTTTAAGTGAAAATAGGTCGATGTGTATATGGATAAAGTCAAGGGAGTGCGCAATGCCTAGTTTGTGCAATTATCTGATGTTTTTTTTAAGTGAAAATACGTCGATGTGTATGTGGATACCAAGTTTGTGCAAATCTTTGACAAAATTGGCACTACACAAAGGGAAAATAAGTCAAAGCATTGCACAAACTCAGTATCGATGTGCCGCCAAAAATCGTCAAAGAGTACCCATAAATATACTTTTAACAAATTCTCTAAACTCGAGTCTAAAATCTTTATGCAGCTTAAAATATTTATGTTTTAAACAGCATAAAAATTTTATTAATCCCTTTACTTTCATTATTTTCATAAAATATTAACACAAATTAAATTTTTCTTATGAGGAGATAAGATACAATGTAAGCTTCTAATTCAATTTAAAGATATCATTAATTATAACACTACAATCAATAAAGGAAATGTGATGCAGTCAATCAATGAAGAAGTTAATATCTGTGGTGCATATAATTATACTGAATTTCAACAGTTGTCCTACTGAATACTTTCAAAACAATTATAATTGCAGGGAAATTATTTCATAGCTCTCTTTCATTTCCTGAATTGCTGATGAATATAACAGCAACAAACACCAAAATAAAGAACATAAAAACTTGTGTAAATTATAATCTATATTTTAATCTAAATATAACTATGAAATACGACAATTGTTACACACTTTCTCTAGACATTGTATACAACACCTAGGCATTCTATATAATGACAAATGTTATTTAAGCAAAGTATGAAAAAAAAGGTCCTGATAAGGCTATTACATAAATGACATGCATTCTTCAAAAATACAAATGTTATTCTGAAAAAATAATGAAAGTGCCATCAAAAAATTTTTTATTCAAAATACGTAAAGAAAACAAAAGTTGTTCAAAACAAAATTTATGCCTTTCCTATTAAAAAAAAAACAAAATTTTCACATAAGAAATTAACCTACTTCTTGCAACATGATAGGCCTGAATTACATTTCATTACATTTTTCATGCAGACATTTCATATTTTGGCACTTTGTTTTACACATATATTTGACAAATCCTTGACCGCTTCTACAGGACTGAGCAATTGCAACTTACCAGAGAGGAATTTTGTGGTCAGTAATATCTTTAATTCTAAGCAAGTTCTTAGGGCATAAAGTGAAATGTGATCTCGCACATACTTGTTTTAAAATTACTTCAGAAGTTCCAAGTTGGTAGAAAACATCCTCTGTCACAGTTACTTACAGCTGCCAATATATTGCATGAATCACCTCGCCCCTTGTCGACGTCAGGAATAAGAGTTCGCACGGTAGTTTCCAAGGAAGCAGTGGAAAATATTTTTCCAAATACATTTTCATGTTTTTGGCTTGTACTTCAAGATTGATCTGAGAATTTATTTTATCTTCAATAGCATTTTCAGTTTTGAAACAAAGGGTGCACAAAATATCCATTTCATAATCTTTACTAACATGGCCACAGAAGGTATGAATTGTTTGACAATACTTTTTGTATGCATCACCCATTTCTTTTAAACACATACAACAGGTATCAGAAAGGGAAATCTTTTCGGTAAGCATGTTTTCATCATGTTGGTTTAATCTACTGTCAACTATAATCTCATCCATGTTTTTTTAAGCAGGCTCTTTTTCTTGCATAATCTGATTAGTTTCACCTTTTCCCATTGTTTAGACGCTATTATTTTTTCTAGCTGCTCCTCTGTAGTTATATACAAATCAGAGTTGTATTTCATACTTTGCTAGTTTCTCATTTGGCATTCTATAGAATGCCTAACAAATGTGTCAATTATGAATCGTCTCATACATTGCCAGCTAGTTTCATAAAATGTCTAGGTATTCTATAGAATGGCGGATTTCAAACTTTGCCAGTAACATATACAATTAGAAATAAACAAGAAAATTAAAAACCTTCTGTAAAATATAATCTACACAGCTAATAAACAAAATTAACATATCAAAATAAAATTTATAATAAACGCTGCAGAAATATGAATATAACAAAAGAAAACTTACTTGACTGTACCAACCACATATACATTCCTAAAGTCATCAGACCCATTGCAGTAAAAGTTCCAGCTAATATTAATTTCCATTCATCATCTGGTTGATCAATTACTTCACACAAAGGTTGACTAAAACTCATTCGATATACTGAAATAACATTACATATAAATGCATAAATAAAGTATACAGGAATGTGATGTCATAGGTGAGAAAACAAATAAAAATAACTGTAGTTGAATTTTGCAGTTTCATTCAATAAGAATATATATAAAAATAAAATTTTGAAACAGAATTAATGAAAAGGAAAAAAAAAAAAAAGACTGGACAGCTCTTGAAGGCAGATAAAAGCCTACCGTGAATGCCATCCAGTGAGAGTGACCACATTATCTGAGGATCTAGGATAAGCCATGCCTCTGAAAAGTACATAAAAAAAATTGGAATGCTAAGGAAACTGCAAAGCAACCAAAATGCAACTACACAAAACTCAACTGTATGAAGTAAAATGAAGGGGGACAGAATACTAATGTTTCAAAAATAAAAAGCAAAATTCATAAACATACTACAACATAAAAAACTAACGGTAACAAGCAATTTCATATACATATAAAAAAATTTACCAAATGTCATTCAAAAGTAGAAATATTTAAAATATATTACATGCTTGCTTTTCTTCCAATGTCAGTTTTTTCCAGTCTCCTTTTTCCTTGGTTCTTAAAGTGTGTAAATCCAGAGATTTTCTACTTTCACTTATTTTCTTTTGTATTGGTATGCTATCATCAAAGCATCCAGAATTGATAGCTATATTCACAATTGTTCGCCATTTTACCTTGGACAAACAATTTCTAAATGTGGAATGTTTGATGCATGAGGTTATATTTTTTGGGATACTCGCTTTTAATCTGTAAAAACCACTTGCCATTTAGCACCTGAAAAGACAGTTACTTTACTATTTTATATGTCTATGAATATTTTCCCTATCATTCTAAACATCAAGAATATGACAAATATTATTATATATATAACAATAGTATAATATATATACAGTGAATATCGTTTAACACGAAACTGAGGGGATTGAAATAGTTTTTTGTGTTAAAAGATATTGAAAATATATATATATATTCAACAAAATTAAGTTTATTAGAGTAAGTTTTAATAACTTAATAATTTCCTAATTTTATAAGAATAAGTTTTTTCTTTATTTACATAGATATGTATGTAATATTTTGGTAGTTGGGCACATGAGTGAAACTTGGCAATCTGGTCACATCAGAATTCTGGACATTGTTACAGCTGAGTGTAAGGCGGCATCCAATGATGAAACAGAAGGATTTAAATTTATAGCTCCATATCTTTATTCAGTTCAAAAGGCATTTCATTATTCTTTACTAAATAAGATTAACTTTAAATTCATTGCAACATAGTATTCAAACAAAGGGAGGCAGATGAGAAGAGCAGCAGCATAGGTCTTAACCCCTTAAGGACCAGCGTCGAGAGAACAAAGTACAGTCACGGAACAGGACCCTCTGAAATGGTTTGTCGCCACCGGCCCGTGCATTTTAAGCAGTTAAACCTAATTTTACAACAACAACAAAAATAAATAAATAAAAATAAAAACTGTATAAAATCAGCATTTTGATATTATAACTTCAATTTTTAAAGTTGTGTATTTAATGCACTTATTTTTAATGTGTATTAATATAAAGAATATCACATTAATAGAAATAAATTAAACAGGCAAAATACTAAAATCATAACTATACACACAGAAATAAATACAGTACAATGTCTGTAATCCAGACGTCCATTATCCGGAATAATCTATAATCCAGACCTCAAAGCCACAAACTTTTTTTTTGGGGGGGGGTAAATTTTGATACTTTTTAGATCATAATTGCTCTTTATTTCATAAATTACTTATTATATTTTTAATTGTATAATTTCTACATGCCATCTTACCAGATTTAAATTGATGATCTATAACCCGGAATCGCCGAAGTCCCGACGAGTCCGGATTACGGACTTTGTTCTGTACTATAAACATGAAAAAAAAATTTACAAATACAAAATAAAACAAAATAATAAAAAAAACTAAACAAGAATTACCTGTAGGTAATTAAATTCAGTTTAAAAATTCTGCTGTGTGTGAAATAATTCAAAAGACGGATTGACGCACAGTCCTACATTGCATATTTCGCACTCAAAATACGTTGTTTGCTTTCGTTTTTCCTTGGTTTCAGCGCACACAGCACATCTTCTCCTACCTTTATTACCTCCTCCGTCAACGTAAATTTTCGGAAATTGTCTTCCGGTTAGATGGAAAGGTGGAGTGTCCAGCGATTTTGGACAAATTTTTAAGTTTTTAAGTAAGGTCTCCGTAGTAAGGTTTTAAGTAAGGTTTTCCGTAGTAAGGTTTAGTGAGGTTTTCCGTAGCTATGGCTAACGGAATGAAACTGAATATAACCCCAACACATGTCACAAAACTTCAAAAGACACTCAGAAATATTTCATCCTCAAACACTGTGTGACATCAGGCTTATAATAGAAAACTTCCTGTTTTTCTAAATCGAACACAGCGTCCACGATTACCGGAAAGTGATCAAGGAAAGGCCCCCACTGGCGGGATATCTGTTACTGATCACTTCAATATATACAATTGCATTATATGTAAATGCATTATATATCAAAATATAATGCTGTGTCAATATATATAATGACCTATTAAATCGAGTAAGAAAAACAAAAATGCTGACTCTTTTCTGAGAAATGCAAGCAAGACGCATTACACGTCGAGAAAGCTGATAGTCTTTCCCCTTCTGTAATAATTTCACTTTTTAATTAATTAAGAAAGCTTATGTTAAGTTTCAAAATAAATAGAAAAAAAATCCTAATAAAATAAACAAAAACAGCCCTTTAATTCACAGGAGCACTTATGAAGAGCCCTGATTTCCAGTTTGTTTATTTCAATAAACATCTCAAATCAGAAACTAATGCCAGTACATGCCGTATGAATCAATTCATATAAAAACAATTACCACTTAGCTCCATTTATTGGCTTTTAAAAATTCAAATATATCATTCCATTTTAATGTGACGTATATAGGATGCTGGGCTCGTAGGAGCAGAATCGTTGCGTCATGAATATGGGCTGGTAGGAGTGCAATCGTTGTGTTGCTGGCCCTGAATGGGTTAACAGCAGTAGCGGGAGAAAGCGGTCTCAGACGCAAATTCTTCATTTACAGAAGCAGTTACATAATATGCTCGAAAGTACTGGTCTAGGGGAAAAATCCTGAAATTGCGGAAAATTAACTCGAGGTTGCTTGTTCGCACAGAGCAAAGCCATAGTATTTTTTATATTTTACATGTACATATATATGTATTTAATAAAAATTAATGAAACAAAAACATCCACAAAAACTTGATTTAATACAAAATTTTCAAGTTTTTTTTTTGAAAAACAAAATATTTATTGAGTTTTTGGAAAATAATCTGCTATTTTTCTTTGTATTGTCTTTTTTAGCATCAAATTGTTCAATGTCATCCATTTTGTTATTCATTTCACCATTGGAATGTGCGTCTAAATAACTGCGCATATTCACAACGTTCCTCATTTTGGATGCCATGGGACCAGCAGCTGCATTATTAATTTCATTTCCGTCATCGGAATCTGCATCAATATTTTTTAGCTTTGAACAAACTGTCTTTGTTGGGGCTGCACACATTATCATCATCTACTGAACAAATTCTTCCAGTGATACAGTAGGACAGTCCAATAATATAGAAACTTTCTCAAACATTTCATTAAGTGTCGGCTCTGTTTCAATATCCTCCTTCTCCATTTCATTTGACGCAAAACAAGCACACTGAATTTTAAACACTGTGATGAACTCGTCACCGAATTCCAAAGCAAACTGATGAGAGATGAAATAATTTTTTGTGGCGTTTGCAGGGGTGCAGGGTGAAAGTATCGTAAACAAAATTGGTTCATGACACAGGCTATTTCGAAGCCAAGTTAGCTTCCTTTCTATGAAACCGCCTCTCTTTCTACGAAACACCGCTCTTAAATCTTGTCTGTGCGGCTGGTGTTTTCCATATTTTGTTCATTCCCAGAAGGATAATCTTTTCGTGTTAAAAGAAACAAAATGCATGAAAATGTCAGGACCCGATGTATTATTCGTGTTAACTGATTTTTGTCTTAAGCATTTTTGTGTTAAACATATTTCACTGCATATATGTGTGTGTGTAATGATTTCGAAGCACGGTCCCGATGGCTGAGTGGTTGGACGAGAGGAAGAAATTGATACCAAACCAAGTTCAGCCAATTATCATCTTTATTTCCAGGCACACTAGACCTTGTAAACAACATACTCTTCAATCATACGATTTCTTATACACATTGGTTTGTTAAAATGAATGACGCAGGCATTTTAAAGAAGTGAAGAATCATATTAAAAAAATTCAAAATTAAATTGTATTTTAATATTTAAAAGTCATAAATAATGTTTAAAACATTAGATTAATTTTATAGATATTAGAACCAATTACTTTTAAAATAATGTGACTTCATTACATCATTCACAACATAAAATTCCATAAAATATCATACACAATAAAATTTTTATTTCAAATAAAAAGGCAAAATTAAATTCATTTTTATTATTTTGAAGTCATAAATAATATTTAAAACACAGAATTTGTGCATAATAAAATGCATTTTTAAAATAAAATGACAACAAAGTATTGGTTACCATAAACAACTTGTGGCAATAGGTTTACCATAAGTCGTATCGCTCGCCAAAATCCATGCAACCGTCTACCAAAGTAGCACTAAAAATTTTGTTATATTAAGGAAATGTCGGATTATTCATAATAGGTTTATTAACGCTTAATGCAATACTTCATTCTCTTTTTTAAGCATTTATACAGTCTTCAAAATGGCTCCTTCTCTTCAAAATAAAATCAGAGATAAGATTACCCTTAGCCACCAGGTAGAGCCAAATTAAGCCATTTAAAGGCCCTAAGCAATTTAAGAGATTTGGTCCCTCTTCATATTTACTTCAAAATGCCAGTCATCCAAAACATAGTTATCCAAACTTTCTAGCTTCGAAGGCCAACCAAACACAAAAATAATTAGATAAGTTTTAGATATTTAAAATTGTTAAGCATATATGATAATGAAACTGGATTATGTAATAATGCAAAATCGATTACAATGAAAATAAATTAAGTGGCTAACAATGAAATGATCATTAATGATTACAATGAAAATAAATTAAGTACTGCAAGAAAAGAGCTTGGTTATCAGATTTTGAATAATGCAAAAATTTTAACAACTATACAGCTTCTCTAATCAACATACAAACTGTCAAACAATGTGTCAGTTTATATTTTACAATGAAATGCAAAAGATACTTTTTGTCTCTTTTATGAAAGGAAAAAGGAGATATTTAAATCTATTTTTCTGGTGAGAATTTTATAATAAACTAAATTTGAATAAATGCATCTTAATTAAATGATGCATAAAACAAATTAAAGGTAACTAAATTAATAACAAGATATGGTAGGCGAACAAAAGCACATATTTTAGTCAGCATTCATTTTATGTAATTAATATACAAAATACATTTTACTTAAATGTTTCGTGAAAAATATACTTGAAAATACAATTTTTCTTTCTAGTGATAACAAGTCAAGAAACTGAAATTGTTAAATATAAAAGTACTCAATAGCCACAAAATTTCAAATCAGTTAAATTTTGATCAGATTTCTGAGGCAAGAAAAATTTTCTAAGCTAAGGAAATTTCCTAAGCTGTAGCTAAGAAAAACCTCATTTTATCAGGGTACATCAAGATTATAATCAAATAAAAAAATAAAATAAATAAAAAAAAATAATAAAAAAAAAGAGGGAAAAAAGGTTTCCAATATTATTATTCATTAATAGAATTTTCTGTTCTTAAAAACTTTGAAATTATCCATTTATTACATGTTATTACATTATTGCTTTTAGAAAAGTATTGACGACCTTCACAAGTTTAGAAATATTGTTGCTATTGCATCTTTCCTATGATCTACAGAACAGTAAGAATTCTAACAAAGACTTTTTTCCCTAGTAAAATAATTTCACTTAAATTTACAAAGCACAGTAATTTTCTTAACTGAACCACCTTCAAGATTTCAAACCAATATACAATGTATCAGAGGCAAAATGAAAATATAATAAAAAAGTTAATTTTTTAACATCAATATTAAAATCTAAAAGACTTTTCTTCTTTCAGTTCTTATCTTTCAGCAATCCAAATACTTAATTTGGAATTCATATCATATCTTATTGAAACCATTTATGTATGAGTTATTAATCAGCAGTTTTGGAAGGTGACAACACTACTCTTTTGTAACAATCAGAAGTTGATTTTAAAACTTAATTTTTCATACCATTTTTTTTAATTGAAGAAAATTTTCATTTTTTGCTTTTTCATTAGCAATATAAATTTAATATGCTGAGCTATATTAATAAATTATTTTAAACAAAATGCAAACTGTATTTTCATAACTTATTGTAAGTTTTAATTTCATATTTAAATGAAATAAAAATATTTGATTGCACAAATCTAAAACCGTCATAAGTGAAGCAATAATTGACTCATCTGATAACCAAAATACGTATGATGACTGTTTGCAACAGCGGCCACTACAACAAAAATCGTGTCTTAACTCATTATAATACTTAAAAATTTGAGCTACAATTTTTAATCCACACGAATTTGCCATTTATACACTTTCATTACTATTTAATGCGAAGATTTTTTGAAAACTACTTAACATACAAATATTAAGTGAAGTGTTGTTAAAATAGAATATTAAAACTAATAATTGAGGAATTACATAACACTGGCATAAAACAACCTTCGTATTTTTACGTTATGGCGCCAAGCGTCTGCAAAGTGGTTCTGATGACCTTTCTTAGATAGAAACAATTTTTCAAACCAACAAAATTTCGGGGTTTTAAAAGAGGTAATCGAAATGTAAAATACATATAGCAAACGAAAGCAGAAAGTATTATCTTTTTCATATTATCCAAACGAAATATGAAATTTACACAGTGCTCAATATTTCTATAAATAGCAACAGAAGCAGCCGCTGATTTTAAATTGAATTTCAAGTGATTCAAATCGAAAGTATTAGAATACACCCGCATACACGCTTAACAAATAAAGTTCAATTTCAAATTTTATACCACAAGATCTATTAAAAAGTTACCTTTTCTACTCAAGTACTTTATCTCTCTCACTTCTTCCCAACTACTCGAGTAAAAGGACTTACAGGCAGACAGACAAAGTAGAAAGACGTCTTGTTTTGCACCCGCTAAATCTTTCTGCCCCGACAGGCGAAAAATCAGACACACAGATGGCCGATGCTATTCGCACCCAAGGTCCGTAGAAAGAACTCATTATACTATTTCTATTTCTTTCTACGGACCTTGATTCCCACCACCAACTTTTAGAAACTTTTAAAATAACTTAATTCGGTGTATTAAGTTATTTTAATTCGGGTAATTAACTAGATTCGGTGCGATTAGCCGCTCAAGCTATTCGCACCGCCTGTTGGATTTGAAAACAATGTATTTTGTGTTTTGTACTTACTTTCCTTTAATTTTTTACTTTAATTATACTTATAATTTTACAACACTTATTACTTTTACTTTTTGGCCACTAATAATTGTTGTTAGTTTGGTTTCATGAGAGTGGCAACAGGGCAATTCTTAGAATTAGGTAAATATGTTTCTGTAGTTAGTTAGGCGTAGTGAAGATTAATTGTATGTTATATGCCTGTGTGATGTTTTATTAAATAAATGAATACTTTAGAACATAGTAGTCTCTTTAGAGTCCTTGATAGGCTGGTAGCGTAATAATTTGACGCGTAGTGGTACCCTCGGTGGGACATAAGAGACATTAGTTTGGAATTCTAAAGTATAAAAATGGAAGCTAAAGAAGCTATTAAACTTGAAAAGAAGATTCACAGAGCTGCTTTTACAAAAGCCTTCAATGTTTTAGAAGAAATGGTAAAAGCGCAGAATAGGCTACATCAACAAAGTTCAGTAGGAGAAGCTGTGTGACGTCCATAAATAGGTGGGACTAAGCTTATGACGGCACAGTGTAGTCTCCATGGACCTTATAAGAGATAGACCAACCCAGTGGGCGGGGCGCGTGTCACCCACATGTCGGCAAGAAAGAGTAGGGACGATCTGGTTTACTTTAACACTGAAACCTATGGCTTTTGTATCACATAATTCTTTTTAATTATTAAATGTGATACGTTGTATAGTGATGAGATTATGAAAACCTCAGTTTTTTCCAAATAGGATTTAATATCTCATTAAAGCACTTTTTACTACATTTCGCGCATTTTTTTCACGCGTAATTCTTGTACAAACATCTTTACTTTGGTAAAACGGTAAAAACTCTAAGCACAAAATTTATGAACTTAATTTTGCGTACAAATAACGTAAAATTAAATAAGATTGATAGTACCTGATACTTTGAAATAAATACGGTAAAATTAAGCAAGATCTGATTTTTTTTTTTTTTTTTTTTTTTTTTAATGAACATTTTCAGGCAGTGATTTTCCAAACTATAATAACATTCCAAAACGATCATACGAGGGCCATCCAGGAAGTAGATTACGTTTCCGTCGTATTTATTTGATTATATGATCATTAAATTATTAACATTAAAGGGGATTAGTTATTTTAATAATTCACAAAATTCGGAGCATAAAATTTTCCGACGTAATGAAGGGCAAAAAAATAAATATAATTAAAATCTAGAAGCACTCAGATTTTATATTACGCCCAAAGGGAACTTTTTTTAAAGTTTAGTGTGTTACCTTCATTTATTGAATATCATGTTCTTTCCCCGTAAACCACATACATTTGAAAACAGCATATCTTTAGAATTTCCGCACTGGAGATAAAACTGTTATTTTCCGTACAGTGCTCTGAACTCTTTGAGTTTGTTAATCAAAAATTCGTTAAAGTTTTACAAAATATGAAATAGATTAAAACAAATTCGAGATTCGGCCGTCCAGATGCCCATGTTTGGGTGGAGGATTGCATTATTCAAAATTCGATGGCTCTATACCGTCGTTTTTGTCACAGTGCGAGAAACATACATGCATTCATGCAGATTTTTCATTATTTAATTTCTTTACATATAATACAGGGCGATAATATTTGGTAACAACAATTTGCAAGGAGACACGGACATTTCTAGTAAAACAGCGCAAAATGCCGCTTCGAAAATAACAGCCTTTCCAGGCTACCGCCGCTTTGGGCTAATAAATCAAATTAACAGTAAATAAAAAAAAAAAATCTTATGCAGAACTAAAAATAAATTTTAAAAAATAATCACTATAACATACAAGCAAAATTAATTATTACGGTCAAATACAATTTTAATATTAGAATTAAATGTATATAAATTTTTAAGGAGTCAAAAGTGTTTATCACTATGATGTATTATGAAATATAATTGAAATAAAATTCCTTGATAGAAATTGTGCTTTAATACTCATCTATAATTTTAAAAAAGCAGTACAGTTTAGAATTTTAAACAAAACTTTCAAAAATTCGTTTTTAAATATTTTAGTATTTTTTACTTATTTACACCAATAAAAAGCATAAAAATGGAAAGAGAAAATTGCTTGTTTGAAATTTTCTATTGGTTCAGATTTAAAATATTATTTTATAAAAGAAGTAGTTACAAGTTTGCGTACGGAATAGGAAAAGCTAAAAAAATATCCAATCCTGAAAGCATGCAATAGCTTCATAATTATTTGGAACGTTAATTATGCTTGATAAATATGCTAAATTTTCAAAAATCAATCTCAATTTCAAAAATAAGAATATGTAGAAATTCTAATTTGTGAAATGAGGCGCTACAACCAGCTTTTTCTTGACAATTATATACGCTGCAATAGGCAACCAATGTTAAATTTGTGCAAGTCGTCCCTACTCCTCCGGATGTGATCAGGGTGACAGCCGGCAACGCCTTAGACGAGGGAGAAATCTCGTTTGGGTTAGTCTGTTTCAGCCCCGTTCACATGCAATGCTCCTTCGCACAGCTGCCGTTAGCAAGGGGAGAAAAAGGAGACATGAAAGAGTTTCGTCTTTAGGACCCGTTCAGAAGACCACCGTCTTCCTTTCCCTTTACACCTAAAGCCTCTATGCATGGAGGTAGGAAGTAAGATGGAGTCGCCCTAAACAAGTTTCTCCGTACCCTGCTCTGAAGCACCGGCGATCCCTACGTGGTGACCAAAACATTGGGTCATTTACCATTGAGTTCTATGGGATCTGACGCGTTCGGGTGTAAATGTTTTGTAATTACGTCGCAAATATACATATAATTGTATATATTTTCTTTTTCTACAACACTTCAGAGTCCTAAGTATGTGAAAACATATTTTTAAACAACATTTCATTCTGAACGGAATTAAATGCTATACTTTTCACAGGACAGTTTTCTCAGAATGGTTTAATTTGAATGAAATATTTTCACAAGTTTTCGTTAATTACATTAGAAAAAAAATTAAAGTAATTCGATTTTATTCGGTTAAGGTACAAAAATTAAGATCAAAGTTTATTGTATTATTAATATTAAAATTATGCATTATTTCTTTTCTATTTATAGAGCTTCTTCCTAAAATACTTTCTTAAATATGACATGATTTTTTGGCTTCTTTTAAATCGAAAAATGTAAGTCAATTTATAATTAATGCTCTATTCGATTCATTTTAAATTAGAGAATTATTAGGAATTAGCGAAATACTTTAAATAAGTATTTCGCTAATTCGTAATAATTAAATAGGTATTAAATAGTATTTGACTTTCTCTTAACATTTCTGAAAGGGAATAAAATAAGTTTTTTTTTTAAAGTATTATTTAAAACTTGTAACTGAGTTATTATAAAATGTAAAGGGAATAATTCTTTTAATTATACTTATCAGATTTTTTTTTTTTTTTTTACCCTTCATTTCTACAATACATATTCCAAAACTCTTTATTACGTTCTTAAGTGCGCATCTCATAGCATTTGCTTTACAATACCTTTTTAACAGATTGCTTTCCAATACGAACAATTCTTGCTTAAATAGTTTTTATAACGTATTTGTCAACAGGATTTCAATTTATGTTTACAATTCAATATTAAGGTTATTATATATTTAGATAACATTTATAATCATTATAAATTAGATACATTTAATCATTAGATTTCTTCACAGTACTTTCACAGTTGTTTATAAGTGAATAAATTCTTCATTTTAAATACATTTATAAATAATTTAATGAATATTTAAGTATCTTGTCAAAGGCAGATACATGCTTTTTGCAAGCACATGCATAAATACGCATACATATTTCCTATTTATCATTTCCGGCATGTGCAAATCTTTAATTTCTGTGCATTCACTATATTTTTCGTGTAAAGTAATTTACACTAATTTAGCATACACCCGAAAGTTTTACATAAAAATAAAAAATATATATGAATATAATTTGAATGAAAATTATAAGTATTATTTTTTAATACCCACTCAAAGGTCAGTTTTTCTTCAAAATTCCTCCACGATGGCATCTCTCTCTTTAGGCAGATAGCCCTTGCATGCCTTACTCTATTTAATAAAAACTTAATCTGACCTATGTGCCTAATTACAAATATTTTAACATACATAATTTTATATTTACATTTAGCCATCAAGTTTCAAACTTTTCAAATCTTCTAGAAAATAAATTTTGGCAGATCTCTTTTAGCAATTTTCTTAAAATCTATATTTTTGTAGTGCAACAGCTTAGAATTTTATAAAACAAATTCATAATCAAAATCGCTGTTGTTAGTTATCGAAAAATAACCAAGATGTGATTTTTGCGTAAATGTCAGTAAACTATACAAATTGCTATTATCCATCACACTATGAATGTTTCTTTCATGCGAGAGTGTCCCTTTTTCGATTTCTAAGGAACTGTCGTGTGTCGAAAAACTATCAGAATCTTGTCAAGCGAGCTTCTGAATGTAAACAAAGAACACCCCGTCTGGTGACACAAGCTTCAAAGCAGTGCTTCACTTCTAGCGCGAAATGGCCCCTCCTCCCTTTCCTACCTCCATGCCTCTATGAACAATCACGTCTCCGAATTGGCAGATTTCTAATACTGTTTACACATTTTTAACGTGGTTTACTGTTGTTAATTTTGTAATCAGTACTTTCGCAACTGATACCTGAACTTTCGTAATGGTTCCTGAAAAATATATGCTTTTTAATTATTATTATTATTTTATAAGCTGTTATTTAGTTCACTCTTGGTGCTTGTCGCTATGGTTAAAAGATGGTAATGAATTTTTAAACTGCTTCCC